TTTTTATATCAGATATTTAACACTGCCTCTGAGGAATTTTATTTTGCTCGGTTGCTGGTTTTGGGTTCAGTAATTTATGGGAAATGTATGTGCTGACAGCCAGTAATACAGGCACTACCAGCTTTCCGTCCATTAGGTGTGTTTCTGGAGTCAAACTATTATGGAAGAATTAAAACAGAAATATTTTAGCCCACCTCTTAGCAGCTGCTGAGAAATACTAGAAAATAGGAACCCAATGAAGGAATAAATTCTAGGATCCTCTTAAAAACCTGTTTATTTTATAATCATCCTTGTGATTCTGTGGGTCTGACTCATGGGTTTTGAGTGTCTGAGATTGGCAATAGCTGTGTGACAGCTATTAAGGCCCTGTAATCTGAAGGCTGGTGAGATGAAGCCTGAATATTTTTGACTTTACAAACATCACCCTTGATGGGTGTCTCCTTTGCCAATCATACATTAAGGATCCCAGTTCCCTTTAGGGTATATTAGGCCCATTACCCTCCCACAGTGAGAGGTGGCTGTTGTAATCATGCAACCCCATCTAGTTTTGCTTTCCTGTTTCTAAATCTCCCTGTAAAGCCTGTCTGCCTATTTTAATTGGCACTTAATATAACCTCCTTCCAACTGACTCAAAGCTTTTCAGGTTGCCATACAATTTTAACCGCATACTTCTGTTCCTTTTGAATTGCCTGTGTTTTAAATGTGGTACACTCCTTCAGCTGTGATAAAACGATCTTTCTGAGATCAACAGCAAGTGATTTTATGTTGCTGAGGAATTGAATCTTGCTGTTTGACTGCTGAAAGGCCTTAAATAATATGGTATTATTGAAAAAGCTTTTAAAGCAATTGCCAGGATGTATTAATTGTGTTTGTGTCTGTCATTTCTTGCAGCATTACTGACACAGAATGGCCATCTAGCCAGATTACGGAAGCTGGATTTGAGTTATAACAACAACATCTCTGATGAAGGGTGGGTCGTTTTCTGTCAAGGCTTAGCAGTAGTCAAAGAACTCTCAGAGCTGGATGTCAGCCTTCGCCCATCATCCTGCCGTGACTGTGGGATGTGGTTCAGTGAGTTGTTAGCAGCACTGACAAAGCTGCCTGCCTTGGCAGAGCTGGGGATGCAAAGATGGGTCCTTTCAGAATCGCAGCGGAAACGACTGGAAAGCTTTAATCAAGACCACAAAAGAAAAATTCGTTTTGACTGTTGATGAAGGTTGAAGGTTTCTGTAAGGCCTTTCACAAGCAGCACATGAACCAAGTATTATGTATCTCTGACTTAGAAGACTGGCCAGTTTTTAGTGATCTCGTCTCATGAGAGCTCTTGAAATAGTTCCATAATTATATAAAACTGTTATTTAACCTTCTACATGCATAGATCATTCAATTTAATAACATATTCTTTGAGATTCTCTGGGCCATGCTTACACTGCTATGCTGACACTACTATATATGCTTAATCTTCATGTTCTGAATACAGCAATGACTACTGTCAAAAGAGCAATGATGATTTCAGATGGACACACTGCAGGTTTGCCAATGGAGGGAAGTGGCTGGGGTGTGTGCTAATGCAGGTGGGTGGGCAGTGTGAATGTGGCCTTGTGTATATAAGGAAAATGCCTTTAATGTGAAAATACTTGAAACCCCTATGTTTTAAATTTTAGTTTCTTCTCCCCCAAAACTTTTGCCTCTTTGTGAATGTATTAAAACTAAATAATTGTGAGATTTGGAAAGCATCCCCACAACTCGGGATTATGTATTAGTCCAGTAAGGAGAATACAGAAGGATCTGTTCTGCCTCTGCTCTGGCCCTTGATGCCATCTCATAGGGTAAATGACTCCTGTGTACAGAATAAGCATAAAATCAAGGTAAGAAACAGTTGATTGGTGTCTTTGCCGGTCTCAGGGGCAAGGGAAATGCTGTGGTAGGTTAAATCAGAGAGATGCCCTGCTACCTCAGCAAGGATTTTGGATACAGAGAAATCCATAAGCGTTCTGGTTAAGGCTATGCAAAGACTTCAGGATACTGCAGGGATGCTCCTTCTCATCCTGAGCTGTTTCAGCCTTACCCAGACTGGGCTTTCTGTATGGACCCTTTTATGACATGCAGCACAAAACCAAACTTCCAGATCTGAGAAGTCTGATCTAGAGCATATGAAAGCCAGTGGGAGTCCCTGCAGTGCCTTCATGCTTCCTGCATTCAGGATTAATCCATTAACCTTCACAACACCTTGTGACATAGACAGTGTTCTTATCCTTACCCTAAAGATGAAGGAAATAAGCAAAGTCTATTATTCAAAGCCACAGGGCAGCTTCTAGCTAAGAGCAAAGCACCCTGCTCTGTTCCGAAGACTTGTTAGAAAAAGGACCAACTTGGGACATGTAAGTGGCTCCTCCTTTTTTCATTTGATAATTTCTTATTTGGCATTTTATTGTATTTGCTTACACAGAGCCAAATTCTGGCATATTCACTCGTGTCATGGAGCATGTTAACCCACACGTGAGCTCAAAGACTGCAGTGGGATTATTCATTGGTAAGGTATTTTAGGAAGTAAAGATACTAGATCTGCCTACTGAGTGAGGAGTCTTAGAGAAATCCTGAGGCAGCTTGAGGGATAAAGTACTGCTCAATTAGCCCTGAGTATATCTACATGCTGCAGCAATCTCCTGGAGGAGAGGCACAATAGGATCATTCAGTGGCATTTTCCTAACTTGCTAGGACTCCTCTCAGCAAGTTCTCCCATGCAGGTGCAGGTCAATATTCAGCTTTCAGTCCGGGTGACCCTTCCAATTGGGGTCAGGGTTATAACCAGCAACTGACCGTGCTGTGCTGATACCTCTTGATCATTTAATCCATGATTTCATGTGAGGGTCTCTATGGACTTCCTGGTTCCAGTTTCAGTTCCACTTGAAAAGTGCACTTGGCTCCCCCAGCTCTGAGAAACATGAGATGAACTGGTGTGTCTTGGTCAGAGGTAGCAGGGAATTGCTGCAGTGTGGGATCAGTTATTTTCTAGAGAGATCCTCAACCTCTGAAATGAAGCAAAGAGCCCCTGTTTCATACAGGGCTAACAAGAGAGACTTTCAAGCAGTGACTCAAGCCAGGAGAGTTATTCTAATGTGGAAGTACCATCATCTCTGTTTAACAGCAGCACACCAACCTCTTCTCTTAATCACTTGCCTTCCTGTGACTTTCCTCCTCAAATCTGCCTTTGGTCCAACTGGGAAATTGATCCTTTACCTGTTCGGTGAGAATCTCTCTGAATCACTCCTTTCCCACTTGAACCTCTCTCTCTAATTCAGTAAAGTAGCTGGCCCGTGTTTAATGTCTGGTATCTGTTGTAATCTTACTGACTGAACTGGACTTCAGTGTTGGGGTTTCTCGCTTTGTCATAGTTGGGTTCCTCATTTTCAGCTCCAGAGCACAGTACGGACTCACTGCAAGCAACCTCTCCGCTTGCTGTTCACGATCCCCTTCTCAGTCCTTTGCCCTCTCGTGATTCTGTCATACCTGTTGTGCCACTAAAAAGCTTTTATTAAATCGCTTCCATTAAATGTCCTGTCTATCTGCCAATCTTCCTGGAAATCTCTCTCTTCCAGTGATTGCCTCCTCGGTAGTCTCTGAATCATCCTTCTCTCTGTTCCTCTTTGCCTTCACTTAGGGTGAAAAAATTTCATAAGACACCTCCACACAATCAAAACAGCATCAGTTACGTAGTAAAATGGAAAACCAAAACTGAGCCACCCCACTTTTCTGCACTACCAGCTCTCTCCGGCCAACAAGCATATTAATGAGATTTTCGGTATCAATTGATTCAAGAGCCAAACGGAAATAAGATCCGTACCCTGGATGCAGATGTAGCCGCAGCATTCAGAGAGCACTACCTGGAGGTGGAGCTCTGGGAAGAGCTGGGTGTCAGTGACCCTGCCTTCACCACCTCCTTCCGGATACCACCACCTTCTCTGAAGCAACTCAGACAAGGGGAGGGAGAGCAGGACTGTGGTTCCGACCAGCCAGTTAAACTAAATAAAGGGTTCTGCTCCCACCCACTCGTGCATTTTGGATCTGCACAGTGGCCGGTCCCAGTCCAGCTCTGTGCTTTAGGTATGCTGCAAATAAAACTCTGGAGGGGTTTAAGGCGTAACTGAGCAATACAGAATAAAAACTAGACAAGGATATCAGATGCCTAGGACAAACAGCTATCTGTAAAGTGCTGTGGAAAGACATGGTTGCATATAAATTTGGCATGCTAGAAGGAGTGTTTGTCATGGTTCTTTTGAATAACAAAGCTGTTATGATATGCCAGGACCCAGAATCATTGCAGAATATTGCATTCTGCAGACTCTCTGCTTTCAAATAAGCCTGTCATATGCAGACATTTTACAAACTGTCACCAAGCTATCTCAGAGATGAGCTATAACACTAAGGATTTGACAGCTTCAAAATACTGTAACTACAGATTGTCAAAACATCAGTGAACAGTTTTGTAAAAGTGTAGAAATACTTACAAAACAGCTTTTTACACCTCTGTAAGACAGGATGGTAATGCAGGTTCTGGTAGAAGTGCATATGTTCTGACTGGCTAGAATCCTCCTCCATATTTCCAAACAAGGTATTGATAATTTCTGAATGTAAAACTCATTAATTAACTGCTAGTAGGTGGGGCCACAAATATTGTTTCACTCTAGATATGGCTGTACCTCACTGACTGGAAAACAGATTTCTAAGAATTGCATGTAAAATACTTCGGGTTTCAGAACAAAGAACACTTAATTACACCAGATTCCTACAGATTAGATTAATTTCCAGTTAATCAGCTGCCTTTATGCTTTGAGACGACAGACATTCAGAATGAGACATCTCAAGAATATTTCAGAATCTGCCTGATTCAGCTGGAGTCAATGTTGACAAAAACACAAAAACAAACCTCAAAAAATCATCTGTTTTCATTGTAACGCTCACTGATTCAAATGCTTTAATACTGCTTGTCTCCTACTCACTTATCTCTTCTCACATTTGCCCTTCTTGTAAATGAAAAGAGCTCTGTGCAGTTTACTGCCCAAATATAACTTTTTGGCTTCTGATCCTTTTACAGGCTTCTCTTTTCCCTTTCCTTTTCCTTTCTTTTCCTTCTTTCTTTTTTTCGTTAAATTCTTAAGTGTCAGGAAAGTTCCAATCCCCTTTTGATTCATCAACCCATGCCACAAACTTTGGATCTGAAAAAGAGAGAAGAACAATCTGGTTACCTGGAGGAAAAGGGTAAAAGCAAACAGTCACGTGGAACAGTATTACTGGTGGATATTCTTGATGCAAAAAGCCAGGCAGATTCTGGTCTCCAGAAAACCCTTTTATTCTGTATTAGACTACACTGTTTGCAGCTAAGATAGACTGCCAGCCACCTGACTTTTCTTTTACTCTGTGTTATTTTTTTCAAGAGGAATTTCTTACCAGGGAGGACACTAACACTGTAGTCTTTTTGACCCTTTGATTAGAGTAGTAAATGACTATATCTAAATATCTTTAAATGTCACCTTTTACTTCAGAAGAACTGTTTGGGAGAAACACATCAGTTCATGAAGAAATTACAGACATTACAGAAAGAGAGGAATAATTTAGGTTCAGAAGAATCAAGGACTGAGGATTTGCCTTTCCTTCCTTCTTGCCCGGTATTTTTTCTGAGCAAATTAATTCCGTGGCCCACTGGTGATACAGACTGATGTTCTTTTGGGGAAAAAAACCAAACAAAAATACACAAAAAATTGTTTTGTGCAATGTGTTTGCACAATGGATCTTCAACTCTCTACAGTCAAAATACAGTCAGCAAGAGTGGAAAATGCCACCTGCAGTTACTTTCATCTATAAGCAATGCCTTGACTTAGAGGATCTGCCTTGGTTTTAGACACACTAACCATTCCGCTTCCACTGGACAAGAAACTAAGGAAAGCTCCATTGCAAGTTGTAAGGGCTGTTCTGTGCCTGCTGACTGTGACCCGGCGGGGCAGTGACAACCTTCTGCAATCTTTTTGAATGATGCCCAGTGCTGTATTGCCTGATGGTTCCCTATATCTTATCTTAACATGATCAGTGATAGAAGTACTGCTCTGCCATAGCTGATGCAAACTGTGGTTTAAGACATTTTTGATGTTGCATAGAGTGCCCTGTAGGTTGTTCCGCAAAGTATCTATTACTAAAAACACAGCTTTGTATGTATATTGTGGTGGCTTTCTTAACACCCCTACCTTTAAGTTCATGGCCTTTTTACGCCTTTTTTCCCCTAAGTATTCCCAGATGGCAGATGTCCCCTAGCAGCACACTTCAATCGGAGGGTCTGTAGTAGGGTTCCTATCCACAAGGACCAACTCCAGTTGCTGAAGAATCCAAATCCTCGGGCAGCTGGGACAGGTGATTGTTCTGAACGAGCAGTTTTTGCAAACCTGAACACACAAAAGCAAACAGCTGCAGCACAAAGAACAGGAATGATGGGGAGCATTCCTGCGTGCTCCCCATAAAGAGCACATGGATGAGGCACAAACAATTCAGTCTGTGCATGTAATGAATGTGTGTATTGAACATCTCATCAGAGCGTTTAAAATTCAAATTGTCTGCTCCCAAATATAGAAGGATGGGACTCAGGATCTCCTAGCAAAGCATTTACTTCACTAGATGAAGACTATTCACCTGGCAGCCAGGTGGCCAAATCCAGCTTTCAAAAGTCCTGCTAATTGGCACACCAACAGTGCTAGTGAACTAAGCCACACAGAAATGCAATCAACTGGGGAAGATGGAAAGACTGGGCTGGGGAGCACCCCCAGAGAGCAGGTTCCTCACCGCTCCCCTGGAGTCACTGGTGCTGACCCAGCGGGTCTTCTCACATCAGGGGGTCTGCTTGGAGCTGAGCTCTGGGAAACACACTTTTCCTTGGACTCCTGAGGTTGAGATGGGTCACAGGGCAGGACCTCCTGTCCACTTGGCTTGGGCACAGCGCTTCCCCCACCCTCCCAGTTCCTAACTTTTATCCTATTTGGCTCCCTTACAATTACAGGATGAGCCCTGAACGATGCACTGCATTCCTTCCTTCCCTTCTCCCCCTCCTTCTTCCAAAATACTTACTGGTACTTGTGTCCTTAAGGCCACAAACACAGACTATTTTTCACCTTGTATTTGGCATACAGAGTCTGGGAGCTGTTTGAGGAGATCGTTGCGACAGTCAAGTATTTTCAGGTGGATCAATGAGCCGATGGCTGCGGGCAGGTACTCCAGACAATTATTCTCCATATGCAGTTCTTTCAGATTCTGGAAAATACGTGTGCATAACTTCTAATAATTAAAGGATTTTTCCTTAGCTTGATTTTTAATCAATGTACAGAGAATATCAGTAAGTGCAGAAGTAAGGTTTATAAACTGACCTACCATTGGGATGACTACTAAACACAAAGAGACAACAAGAGTTTCAAACACTGAGTTTTGATATTATTCCTATTCTGACAGCCCTGGCCTGATGCTGCACCATGTACCTAAAGAGATTAGGAGAACCTTCAGCCCTGCATTTGGGAGCAGCTGAAGTCCACGGAAGTGCCATGCTGCAGCAGACCAAGATCTTCCCCCTTCTATTGCTCCTACCTGCAATTTGCTGATGTCTTCTGGCAGACTTGTGAATTTAATTCCTTTATCTTGTCCCGGGTATAATCTCTCTAATGACTCCAGGAGCAAGATTTCCTTTGGAAAGATACTGAATTAGTTTTCAGACAGGCTAAGGCATTTCAAATTTGTCAGTTCTTTCACCTCCACAGGTATCTAGACACAGTCATTAAAAAGATACATTATGTCAATTAAACAGTAATCTTTGGGATTTTGTTTTTAGGGAAAAATCTCCAAGAAAATGCTGTGGAGCTGCATTACTGTTGATGGATGAACACAGAATATTCTGCTCATTAATATAACATTATACCTCACAGTATGGTGGAAATTTTGGCAAAAAAATCCATGTTGTTTCCTCTGCTGGAAAGATTTCTTATGGGGCTAATTTTATTTCTTAGCAGAAACATTAGTCTGCTTCTTCATTTCCTTTGTATGCACAGTGCAGGGGAGAGTAATTTAAATGAATGAAATCTGAAAATGATTCTTTTGCATAAATTATTACTTCTTTAAATGTAACCTTCCAGAAGAAAATTGCACAAGTGAAAATCTCCTTGGAAAAGAAGCATTGCATTATATAAAAAGGAAGGTGTATTCTGAGCCCTAAAATTAGTATGTCCATGAAAACTGTTACACTTATAGTAGCACAGCTTTAGGGTACATAATTGTTCATTATCAAATGAACAGCAAATGTTAATGGTGTTAAAGGCATTAACAATATCACATCCATTTTTAAATTGCCCTCTGCTCTGTTTCAGTTTGTAACGTATTGATTCTACACAAATGTAGCTCTTATTTTCCAGTGTACACAGAAAAAGATGCAAAAAGACTGAAGCAGTCCCTCCAGTCAGTATTTCATCTTTATGAGTCAACACAAAGGTCAGTGTTTCCACATTCTTGCTTTTTTCTCCCTGCCTGAATCCTCAGATGTCAGTGATAATGAGTAACCCAGGCTCAGGCGCATACCAGGTGGAACATGCCTTCTCACTGTAGTAGGGAAAGGTGGCACTCAGTTGTAATGAAGAACTTAGATTTTGCAAAAGGGAGGTATCAATAAAATAAGAATGAAAACAAAGGAACAAATACCTCCTGTATCTGATTGCCATCTAGGGCCAATACTTCCAGATTTTTCATAGTACGTATTCCTTTAGGAATCTCATCAAAGCAATTTTCACTCAGATCTAGTATCCTGACACTAGTTAATCTGGTGAAGGACCTGGGTACGGTGCGCAGTCCGGTGTTCCTCAGATAAACACAGGAAAGGGATGGCCAGCAGCAGATCTGGTGTGGGAACTTCTTCAGGCTGTTAGCAGACAGTCTGAGTACTCTCATTTCAGTGAGATTCTTCAAACATAGGGGAAGCTTGTGCAGGAGATTATAAGACACATCCAGCACAGCCAGCTTCTGGCAGCGTTGCAGTGTAGGAGGACTGGAGGATAAGTTATTAAAAGCTAAAAATAGCTTAACTAAGTTTGTCAAAAAGCCTACCTCTTCTGGGATGAAACTGATTAGATTTTGTTCCAGATTGGTTATTTCTAAATTAGCAATATGACAAAGCTCCTTGGGAAAACTTTTAAATCTATTTTTCTGGAGGTAAATTTCCTTGAGTTTTGTCAGGTTCACTATTTCTTTAGGCAGACACTTGAGATTATTGTCAGGAAGGCCAAGCAGTTCAACACGATGGAGGTATTCACAGATCTGTACTGGGATTTTGTACAAGTTTGTTTTATAGAGCCTGAGCTGACGAAGGGACTGCAACTTGCTGCTAACTAGCAGCGAACTACAAGAGGGGATTGTTACTTAAATCTAAGCTCAGAAGACATTTCAGGTCCCCTAGTTCTTTGCATATGTCCTGTATGTGATTCTATTCCAAGTAGAGGACCTTCACGTGCCTCAGGTGATTGATGTCTCTGGAGATGCTTACAATCAGGTTCTTTTCCATGTGAGGCTCTTCCAGATATTCTAGACTCAAGACCCCCGTCGAGATGGTTCACAGTTGCTTGTTGGCTAAGTCAATGAAAAATATCCTGTCTGTGACACATGTAGGAGAAAGAGCTTCATTCTCTGGCACTTCATTCACTGGTATTTCTTGTGCAGTTTGATCATGGTCATCCTCAAAACCAACAGAGTCAGCTTTGGAGCAGTGAGTGCCCCCTGCACTGGCCTCCTGGCTCTGCTGAGACTCATCCATCTCTGCTCCTTATTTTTAATTTCAGAAGAGAACAAAATTAAAAATCCACAGTACTCAAAGACCTTTCTATGCTAAATAAATACTGGCAGAATTCAGCATTTAGGGACAGGTTCTAGACTCAGTTGTACCCCTGCAAAAAGCTGCCTGTGTTCATTGAGATCAAATCCTGTAGTACATACTGCAGGACCATATCTTTGAATCCCAGTGCATCCTGAAGTGCCCCAACAGCCAAATTCGGAGTGTGACCTTATGAAGTCAGGGGAGCTGGCCGAAGCAACCTCCTTGAGTCTTGAAGGTCTGTATTTACAAACACTGATTGAGATCTGTCTTCAGCTATGCTGATTGTAAAAATGGAAGAGCCCTATTGTAAAAAGGTGGCACCTTCTTCTGTAACACTTAGTGGTTTCTGAGCCAGACAGATGCCAGTGAATCTGATATTTGATAACCCTCGAAGTTGTACCGTTGCTGATAGCGAAAGAGCAAGAGGTGGGAAGGGGCGACTACCTGAGTGACCTCTGATGTCTGGACAGAAGAAACCTTTCAGCTGGCATTTAAGGAACAACAAGAGAGAAAGTGGAGGTCGAGAGGCAGCTGTCCATTGTCTCCCACCTGACGCCCTTTTCTCTGCTGCCGTAACCGCGCCGGGAGGACGTCACGTTTCCAGAGATGGGTGGTTTCCAGGTGCCACCGGGACAAGGAGGAAGAACTGAGTGACCACCATGGGGAGAGACCCATGCTGGGCTTCCCAGTCTAATTCACATGTTGCACGAGGGTATTTTCTTTTTTATTGGCTCTGAGTTCAGTACTCGGGTGTGAGCCCCACACACTGTGGGACAGGAGACCGAGCAATCCCAGCCCACCCCCTCCTGCGTATAAGGGCAGTAGTGAAGTCGGTAGAAGGATTTATTTGGTGGAAAGGTCCGGCACAGGCACCTTTGAAGTAGCTGCTAATCTGTGTAACCACGGAAATTTTTGCAAAGGCTCCTTGGAGACCACGGGCAGACCACTAAGTAAATCCTGCGGGGGCGAGCTGCTGAAACTCCCCTCCCCGCAGAGGCTGGGCACCACAGATGCGGCCAGGCCTCCACCGTGGGGAGGGCCCAGCACGGCACAGGGGTGGGGTGGCGGTGGGGCCTCCTGCCAGGGCTCTGGGCTGGGCCTGGCTACCTTCACCCGCTCCCTCTTGGTGGGGCCTGGGGCCTCCTGCCAGGGCTCTGGGCTGGGCCTGGCTAACTTCACCCGCCGGTGGGGGGCCTGGGAGGCCCTCCTTGGAAACAGGCTCCGTTACCAAACATTATTAACCTTGGAGCAGCCTGGCTCGGCCCTGGGGCAGAGCTCGCCCGTGGGCCCGTCACTGCGGGTTGACGTGGGGAGAGGGTGCAGGCGTTGATCGCTCAGGTAGGCCTGTGGAGGTTGGGAGCCCCACTGCTTTACAGGGAAAAAGGACCTCCCTATGAATATTAATTCTCTGTTAGCTCAGATCCTATGTGATGGCGGATCAGAAACACATCCACAAATCCACATTTTTTCCCCATGCTTTTCCTGTCTGTCTGTATCTATGTTATTCTTGTGTTGCATACCAAGAGTTGTAACCCTTTTCAGACCAAGCCCATTTTTATTGTTATGCAGAGCCCAGCACAACAGCGCTTGGGGCCATGGTGATGTTGCTAGGCTGCCATAACGATGCAGTAACACTTTGTTTTGTTTTCCAGCAGGTCATGTCAGTTCATCCAGATCTTCACCAGCACTATGTGCGGGCCTGCCAAAAGTTGGGCCAACCTGAAAACCCCTTCATTGCTCACGTGCTTCAAGAAGCCGATAAAAATGATAAAATGTAAGGAAATAACAAACAGTGTGTCTCAGATGCTTCTGAAAGCCTTAAACGAGATAGCAGGACAAGGAATTGAACAATGAGAAAGTTCATGCAGTTTCAGGCTTAAACACAAATCATATTTAGCATTTACTGCTGAAGTTCTGCTTTGACTCATCTTGACATCATCTTGGCAGAAGTTTGTAGCTATATATCCCTTCTGGGCAGCTTTACAAGCAGTGAAATTAAAAAAAAGTGAAAAATGTACAGGATGGTGCCTTTGTGTCCCTTAAAGAAGCCAAACCCAGTGTCTAGTCATCCTAACTCCCTTCCTTTTGTCTCGCTCCTGTTTAAAAAGGCTCAGCTGCATCTAGTTAGCTTCCAGCTGGTAATGCTTCCCTGAACCGTCTCTGAATCCTGCCAAAGTATTAGCCACCCAAATTCTCTCTCATTATATGGCTAGGTAGGGCTTCCTCTCATGGATGCTCCTGGGGTCAAAATTAATTGTCCTTTGGAGAGAAAACCTGAGAAAATACAACCTAGTGAAATGGTTTGTGTTAGGTTTTGATCCTGAGGGCAGGATAGAGTAAATAAAGGAAAGGGAACAAGTGAAAAGGAGATGATGAAGTAACCTCCAGGATAGTCTTTATTTCCATCTGCCTTCCCCTCATCTTGCTTCTTCCTGCTTTCTGTGCATGTGTGCTAAGCGTGGTCTTGCAGCTGTGCAGTGTCTTCAGAATATCAGAAAGGACAGTGCTGAGATACAGCTTGAATCATGTCGTCTGTCATGGCGTTACCAAAGGTAGCGGCAGCAGCTAACTGCATGCAAACACATCAGTGAGGGCAAGCATGGATACGCTTCCTATCTGGAGAGACAACTCATTTTTCTGTATCATTTTCCTTCTCCCCATGTGCTTACATTTTTATGTTACAGCAGATGGACAAAAGGGATCACATTAAAAATAGCTGGAAGTAATCATCTAGTGCCTGTGCAGAGAGTTACAGATGACGATCTTCAAGTTCTTGCCTCTGTCTTATGCAATACTGTTTTTGTCACAGGTAAGCTTTTTCCATATATGTTTGACATTGCTGTGCTAATATAAGAAAACATAAGCAGTCTTGATTTCAGCCTTAGTTCATCTTTATTTCTTTTTGTTTAGAGGTCAGTTAATTGTAGATACGCATCTGTCACATTCCTCATTCTTCATCTTTTTCAGGTTTGGATCTTAGGTGTAATGTATTGACTGATGCTGGAGCAAAGCACATGGCAACACTCCTCCAGGTGCCAAAATGATGTTTATCATTCAGCAACTTGTAATTTATTTGGCTATGATAATATTTATCTGTGGTAAACTGGAGACAAGAATGCAGTGGTTTGGCAAAATTCCATTCATTTCGACTGTCACATCCAAATCCATCCCACCAGAATCTCAGATTGTATTCTCTGGGGAGATTTTTAATTTCTGGTAGAAAACCGTCAGACGTTTGGCTGGGGTGTCATGAAGAAATAATGGTAGAATAAACTGTGGGGCTTTTAGGCTTACAGTCCAATTCAACAAAGGAGGTAATGGTAGTGTCAAGTGTGCCAGGGCCTTGGTTTTAGATACTTTATCATCTCTGTTATTAGTCTTTTTGTAGGTCTAAACGTAGGAAACTTTAATGCTGCCTTTCTGTCATTGTAAGCACCAGAATACAGATGGAAAACGGTGAGTTGCACTCAGTGCCTGTGTTTCTGGAGCTCAGGGAGGGCCATTAAGTTCACAAAATACCTGAAGGTCTATGTCTGAGCTTGACCACCTGCCTCATTTGGTCATGCTGAGCACGCGGGTTCCTAGGCGGCCTCTGTAAGCCCCATGAGGACATACACACTATGTTTTTCTGCCTTTCCATCATCATCTGACATACTTTGGCATTCTTTAACTACTTCTCCAAATCAGGGGCTGTCTGAAAGGCAGTGAAGGACAGAGGTTTTAAGTACGTGTATGATGCATCTCCTTTTTGAAATATGCAGGCATGCTCTGGAAAAAAGTCTCATTGCTTTCTGCTTTGTTTGTTCCTAAGGAAAACTCCGCTCTGCGGGACCTTAACCTGATGTTTAATGATATTGGCACAAGTGGAGCAGAGCTGATAGCGAGAGCACTCCACGTGAGTATTTGTCTGGGAGATTTAGACAATGGCATCTAGTTTGATATTTTTGCTTTTGATGAACTGTACTAGCTGTCCTGCCAACATCAGAGCTGGCTGAAAGGGCCCTCTGTCTCTAGTCCATTCAGCATTTTGCTGTATCACAGGGATTGATTGTTTTCCCAAGGCAGACTTCAGAAATCAGATTTCACACAGAATGGCACTGTGCTGCCATTAACACTTAATTATCACACCTATCACAGCTGGATTTTTCTGTGTGAAAAATGCTATGCTATGCTATAGGATATATAATGTCATCAGGTTTTTTCCTTTTTTTTTTTTTTAAAAATTGTATTGAATTTGCCTGTACTTGACCTTAATATTTGTCTTGATTCAAGATGTCTGAGATGTTTCCAAAACTTTGCCTTACAGCAGCAGCATAAAAACATGTTTGTTATTTTTAATGTGGTTTCCTAAGGAAATGAGGCTTGTGTGTAAGATTTGTTGTGTTTGTGAAATGAGGCTCACGTGAGCTCTTTCTTCCTCCTTCATAGTCTTTGAATTCTGAACTGATTTCGACTAAATTTGACAGGCCTCCAAAACGCTAAGGTTGTACAGTAGATTGTACAACACTGGGCTTGCAAGCAACCCCCAAAGCTATTTGTGCAGCCTCCCGGCCGCGATTGCTGGGTTTGCTGGGCGGGTGGGCGGCGGGACCTGACCAGCCAGGCAGCCCCTTGGCTGCGTGGGCTCCTGCTGCCAGGCCAGGCAGGGGGGATCCAGGGGTGAAGGGGGTGTGTTATTGAGGGAGGGAGAGGGAAGGAGATGCTGTAGTGAGGTACCACAGCAGGGGAAGGGGTACTGGGGACATGTGGAAGACATAAAAGCCGTATGAAACCAGGCTCACAGAACTACTTGTTTTGTAATCACTTAATCAATCATAATCTCTGGTAATGAATGCTTACGGTGGTACTGAGGAATTAAAAATACAAAACTACTCTGCATTGCATTTAGGGCTTTAACAGTGAATAGATATTTCATATCCATTGAAATTCTGTGGAGGGTGAGGGGAAAGATGCTGGCTTTTCTAGACCTCTGATCAGAACTTTATATTGCCAGTGAAGTCTCCAGTCCAGCAAAGACTTACACGCTGGTTTGACTCTGCACCAAGTAGTCCTTCCGAAGGTGACTGGCTTCACTGAGCTTTGACTGGTCATGTGATTTAAAAGATCATGAAAAATAATGCAAATTATATTATTGTTTAAAATACACTTACTAGATTTAAATCGGTTTTGATATCATTTCCGTTTCAGCTGCCAATTTAGGCAGAAATATCTGCCTGGATTATTTTCATGAGTCTGCAATTTGTGAACTTGGGAGAAACAAAAGTTTTCAAATACTCAAGTTTTGCTTCCAGACTCTCACGTGTTTGATTCCACTGTGGGGAGCTTGAGCCAACTGCTTAGTCAGTGTTATCACTTAGAAACAATTCTTCTGGAGGGATGTTTTGTCTTTGAGTGACAACCAGAAGGACTCACAGGAAAAAGAACAGTGTTGTTTTTCAGGCCATTTAAAAGGAATTGATTTTTTTTATTATTATTTTGTCTAGAGGAATGAAACTCTTGTGTATTTGAGAATGACTGGAAACAAAATAGGAAACAAAGGTGGGATGTTCTTTGCTTCAATGCTACAAATTAATTCAACCTTAGAGAAGCTGGATCTTGGAGACTGTGATATGGTGAGTAATCCAGTAAAATTATCAGCAATGACATAAGTCTTTCAAGGGTATTATAAAGGTCCTGCAGTGCTTAGTTAGGGGGAAATGCCGTCTGTTGTCATTGATTTTACATTTTGTGATAGCTGGAGGTAACACAATATATAATATTGCAATGCGTACTTGGAAAGACATGTTGCATAAAACACCTGTGAAGTCATAACTGATGATATATTAGAGCCACTAGAGCCCTGGGAATTCAGGTGCTTGCCTTTCACATTTTCCAAGGTTTGTTTCTGCTGTTCATTTTTGTTATGCTGTCTAAGTAAGTCCTGTGTAATTCATGTTGAAGAAAGGACTTCTTATTCCCTGGAGGTTCTTTTCCTTCTGAAGTGTGCAGTGCTATAACGCCTGAAAGTCACTCAGTTCCATAGCTCTGTTGCTCCTATCAGAGCTCGATCCATAAAGGACATAGGCACAAGAGTGCTGAATTGAGTAGAAAGGCGCCCAATTTGACCTTAGATAACTTGCCGCCTCCTAGACTTGGGCGCTGAGACTTCTTACGCAGTGCACAGGGGAAATCGGGAGGGTAGAAATGGGTCAATACACTAAGCAGGGTGCTTCCCACTCCAGCCAGTAAAAAACCTGTGGATGGCTTTTAAAAACCTGTGGGGTACAGCAGGAGGTAGCAATTGGAGCTGTGAACCTCCTCCCAGTGCAAGGTCCCAGCACCTGACTGATGGTGTGTCCTTGTGTGGTCACATCAGAGGGGCCGGAAGGTGGAAGTGGTTCTTCTCCCTGCCTGGGAGAATTTGGTCCTGTATCTTGCCCTCCGGGAGAATGCTCTAACCAAGCTAGAAGTGAAATGAAGATGGGCCACTCTCAGCCTTCCTGTTAAGAGTGTTCATCTTTTCAGGAGATAATGAAGTGTATGTTGGGCAGAAGGAGTAAGTTTGACTGTAACCTGACAGTTATGAGTGTCACCTGGAGGCAGGGAGAGAGCTGGGGTGAGATGAAAATTTTATTATATTTGTTTCCCGGAATTACAGAATTGCTCCTAAACTAGAGGGGGAATACTTCTCAGAAACGGTGAAGGGTGTTATGAAAACATAAACAAGGGAAATGTAGCCAGTGTAGGATTTATTTGAAAGCTTAGTATGTTTATGCTTGGTAGGGAGTTGATAGAAAACTGATTTAAAATGAAATAGCTTTGGGTGTAGACCAGCCTAATTGGAAAATAACGTAAATATAAATTAGTGAGCAAACGAGAAGGGAATACAAAAATCTGAACTGGCCTGTATTCTAGACTCTCACTACTCTGTACCACATTATTTCACATTTAGTATGAATTTACCTAGTGGATAAATGTTACCGAAGACTTTTACCAAAGACCTTAGGGAACACACACAAGCTGGTTTTAATTCATAAATCAGGACAACCAAAATACAGGATCAATTAAATGGACAAGTATCTTTGAGATGCATTATTCTTGCTTTTTATTTTCTGAGTTGCCAAATTTCATGGCCATTTGTACTTCTTAGCCTAATTCCACTCTATTATTGCACAGGGAGTTGGCATTGGTATTATCAGAAAATACATGGGGTCTGTAAGCACTTGCCTGCTGCACTTGCATCACTCCAGAGTACATGGAGGCAGAAATAATAGTATTTCCAATCTGAGCCCATTTGATGTCTTTGATCTTCTGACAATCGATTCTAAGAAGTCATGGTAATTTGGTAGCTTGATCTAGACGTTGGACAGGTTTCTCTAAAGAGTTTATTTATTTTCATTTCCAGGGTACGCAGTGTCTAATAGCAATAGCAACAGCCCTGACTCAGAACAAATCAGTTAAAGCAATAAACCTAAATCGTCCTTTACTATACAGCCAAGAGGTATGTAAGTAGACTGTAGTGTCAGCTCGGTCAAAGAGAGAAGCATAAGTCAGTACTGATGTATTATGGACAGCTGAACTACACGGCGCTCTGGGTTTCCTTACGAAGTGAAGTAAATGGTTGCAGAAATACTCTTTTCCTCTTTCTGTGCCGAGTTTTGTGCAGTCACAGGCTGCCCCGGTTTAACTAGAAGGTTAATTTTTAAAAAATTTCTTTCTTGGTACATATGCATTTGTTAAATAATGGGCTAATGGAGAGGGCTTGGTATTGGAGAACCAAGTATTCCTTCTGCTGTTACAACACAGAGAGTTTTATGCGTCGTTCAGCAAACTGAGGGAGAAATGCTGTTTAGCAGGAAATGAGGGGAAGAACAAAAGACTGCTGTTTATCCGAGCAGTGCAATACATGGGCAATTGCCAGAGCCCGCAGCCTAAAGAAGAAAGGCACACTTCAACAATATGCCATATTCACTGGGCTGTGTGGTTTTGTTGTTTCACTATGTGAACTTGAAGCATGAATTTAACAAGTGAATGAACCTCGTTAATGTAAAACCTATGATGCATTTGTTAGCCAAAAAAAAGACACAAACCCTCCAAAACAATTGAGCACCGAAAAGAGAACCTGCAAGGCAGTGTTTGCTGGGGGCAGCACCACAGGCCACTGGATGTGCACAGGCACACAGAGCTGTGGGGCTTTTGCTTGCAGGCATGCAGCTTCTGCGCATCATCGCCCTGCTGAAGTCTTGGCTATAGAGCTGGTTGCAGTGGTGGTTTCACCAGCCTGGCAGCTGTTGTCAGATGTCTGTGATAGGTACAGTGTTTTCCTGATGGCAGGATAATGAAATTAAACTGTCACGAAGGCCAGATCTTCCTAAATTCCCAAAGGTGAATTTAACAGTTTAAACAGATTTTAGTTGTTTCTTTTCCACTAAGACAGGGCTTGATCTGCCTAAACCCAGTTTTAGAAATAAATTTAAACTACTGCTCTTGAAAATATGGGCCATTAAGGGCCTGGTTTGTATCCGTGGGAGACTCTTTGCCATTGTTCCCACCTTCAACTCTATCATTTTCTGAGGCCTCTGGGTTGCTGCCTTATTTTTGACTCACAGTATTCACTCAGTTATTTCCTTAACTAAACGTGACAACTTCAAAATGAACTTACTTTGTGTTACAGTGACAGGATGTATTTTTTCCCATAGCAATCCTGTTTCTTTTTATAAAATAATAGATTAGTGTCATGACAAAATATTTTAACGTTAGTGAAGACTGACTCAAACATTCAGTTTTTTAAGAGCAATGACTGGGAGGGAAACTGATTAGACAATGATTCAAACATTGATGCTCCTGATATTTGCAGGGATGTATCTAGTACTGTCAATCTGCAAAGATATTTCTGGTATTTTTCATTTTTTTACGTTCAGCATTATCATAACATATTGTTTCCTGGCTATTTTTAATACCAAGCTGCAATATACAAAATAGGACACTACTGACAACCAAATCTTGCTGTTAGTTGCGCATCTCCCTTTTACTGAAGCAAGACCATATCTTATCCTAAAGTACAGCTTAATAAAAACTGAGTGTATGTTTTTAGGAAGAGACCACAGTTCATGTAGCTCTGATGTTGAAAAATAACTCTTCTCTTGTGGAACTACATTTGTGCAAGCACGAAATGAAAAATTTTGGTGTAGAGCGACTGTGTGAGGCATTGTATGAAAACTCCAGCCTGAGATACCTTGATCTTAGCTGGTAAGAGTTATTACGTGACATCGCCCTGACTAACATTAGACACTCATTTTCTTAGCACCCTTTTAAAAAAATGTGTGCATCTCTCTTTCAGTAATAAAATAACCTGTGATGGTGTAAAATTTTTGGGAGAACTACTAAAACGGAACCAAACCCTGGAAATCCTAGACCTTAGTGCAAACCGAATAGAAGATGATGGAGCCATCTACCTGAGTGAAGCCTTGGCTTTGTACAACAGGATTCTTCAGGCGTTAGTATTTACGTAACTTCCCCAGAGACTGCAGGTGTAACGATTCAGAGTATAAGAAGCTCGCACTTTGCAGTGGCTGAACTGACAGCAAAACCGTGTGCTTTCATGTTACCGATCAGATTAGAAGTCAGGAGGTTCCAAACTTCTTAGTCCATTTTTCTTTCTCAGGAAAAAAAATGTGAATGATGGATTGGGTGGGATTCCTTTGCCTAAGCATAGGCGTCTCCCACCATTGGAGATGCCGCAAGACCTGTGAGACATCCTAGGGCGCTGGCAGGTGGCCCACAGGTCCTTTCAGAGCCCAGCAGCTTGGAGACCAGGCAGGTCAGATGGCACAGGAGGCCTGTGTTTGGGTAACTGAAGTAAGTCCCCTGTAGCTTCACGTGAGCTAAAGGAGTCAAACACTAGGCTAAGAAATGACATTCAATCCCACGTGCTAATGCCTCGTGTTCACCTTCCTGCACCGCCAGGCCTACCCGTAACTCATTTTATCCCCTTTTCCTCGTACTTCCTTTTTTTCATCTTGTAACCATTGCTGTGTGGCCTGACATATGCTTATTCTTCTTTTTCAGGGTTTTTTGGGGTTGACGCTTAGATCAGTTTTGTAGTGGTTCATCTTACATGTGATTCACAGCTTTTACAGTCATTCTAAGGAGGGGGGAAGGCAATTAGATCTTATTCGTTCTTTTTGCATCTTTAAAGCATCGGTCCCTGTGGTGCACAAACGAAAACAAACCGAGAGCTGTACATCTTCAGAATTTTAAGATAATCAGATTCCATGCAGGGATAAGGCACTATATTTGTTGATTCTGATCTTCAACACTTAAGAAAATCCTCTGTTTAAGTTAGCTTCTGTGTGAACCCAAAAGAGCTGTAATCTCTCCATCAGGGTGTATTTTGTAGCCCGCATTAAACCGTGCGCCGGCAGGATGTAAAAGCTGATCAAAGGTGTTACCTGAAGCCATTAGGTTTAAGTAGCAGACTGAAGAGGTGGCGGCTGCTAGGTGCCTCTGAAAGCCTTCCAGGTTCACTAATATAAAAATAACTGCCACTGCTCAAGATCAAAGCTTAGCCTGGATAAGTGCCAAGGCTTGGGCTTCAAAGCAGACTAGAGATGAGACCTGGCCACCACACAGTAAGTCACCGACATTGAAGAACTAAATGGTGAACAACCTGGCTGCACGAGTCATGAAAATGCCTTGCGAAATAGTACAAGTCCGTAGTCCAAACTGCCTTTAGCAACCTGAAGAAGATTTTATAGTACGACTGGGCTTGATACAAATGAATAATTACATTATTAATAACAAATATAACATTTCAATATACATACAATATATGATATATAACAATATATAATGATAAATAAGAATAAATCATAGTTAAACTCTTAGTTTTAACTAAGAGATGGGAATTCAGTGGTTTGGCACACATTTGCGTAACTATTTTCTCTGTTTATTAGGTTGTCAGTAGTAAGCAACAATTTAAGTGGCAAAGGACTTGTAGCTCTTTCAGATGCAATGAAAACAAACATGGACCTTTCCTATATTTACATTTGGGGGAACAAATTTGATGAAGCCACCTGTATGGTAAGTGTTTGCTTCTGAACTCTTCTAAGAGAGTTGTTTTTTGTTTGTTCTAATTTGTTTTTACAATCCTTGGGAAGACTACAGCAATTCGTGAGCAAGATACCTGATTTACTCTGGTTTTTTTTAAAAATAATTATAATACGGTGGTGCTGTAATGAGACTCACTGAACATCAGCAGCATACTGAAATGATCAAGTACTTGCCTATTGTGTGTTTTCTTCTAGAGCCTTCACTGCAGTCAAAGCGGAATATTCTATGTCAGATTCTTGTTCTTACTCATTTCAGGCATTTTCAGAATTAATTCAGACAGGCCGCTTGAAACCTAACTGTACGGACGTGGAACCGTATGAAGTGGATGGGCATGTTCACCTTGCAGAGCTCTCCCATGGCCTTAAGAAGCATTACTACTGGACACCAAGTTGTGGGGAGGTGACGAACAAAGATGCTAATGCCAGTCTGGCAATTGCAGCGGTTTCAGAATACTTGTGAGTGAGGTAGCAGCTGGATGCGCTCCATAAGCTTGAAGTTTTCCTATCTTGTTTCTAGTAAAATAGATTACATCAGTATCAAACTTGCTGCATGTTGTTTCTTCAGGGTCTTTACTCTAGAAGGAATCTAAAAACACTTGAAGTAGCATTAGAGATAAAATATTGAACCAGTGATCTTAAAATTTGTTGCTAAAAATGCCCAAGCTATTAAAAGCCTATTAGTATGAAAATGCTTGAATTTTGCAGCAGTCGTTTCTATTGCACACTATCATCTCCTTCGCCTTACCATGATTAGCTGTAGTTCCAGGGTTCCCAGGTGATAGATGAATTTAGTGAACTAACATGCTAAGAGGAAAACATTTTCACCACCGCACAGTGCACTAAGAGTGACACTAGGTATTCTTAGCAGTAACAGGGAGTAGAACAGTCACTGATGAGAGGCATGTGAAGAGTTCAGACTGCAGCAGTGCAGATGCATGAATTGAACTCCTAGCAGCTGAACTACTCCGCTCTATTCAGGAGACCCTCTCAGATCAGGATTTTTATCAAGTGCTTCTTATTTTAAAAAGATGCAGGGGCTGGTTCAGAACAGCAGCAGAGCCTATGGATAGGGTATCATGACCACAGGGTCCTCTTCCACAGGGCAGCTGCAGAGGAAGAGCTGTCCTTGCCCTTCCTGGGCTGTGGTCTCTGCAGTCAGGTTTCCACATAGCAGGGAGAACCCACAGGTAATGTTATTGCATCTCTGCAGGCTGGAGTACAGCCAGGCGGATCAAACTGACAAAAACTTACACCCGGGACTGCCGCTGGGGAGCAGCTTTGCTTGACAGCAAATCAGATATGGTGTAGAACAAGGTTCCTGTTGAAGCAGAGAGAGGTTTGGGTAAACCCATTTGTTGCTACTGTGCTCTATATACCCTCGCCTTTTACTTAGCAATGGCATGCTTTTGATATTTATCCAAGAGTGACTTTTTTTTTTTTAACCAAGTTAAACAAACTTAAGCAAACTTAAGCGTTAAGCCACTATAATGCTGGAACTTTAAAGCTAGTGAACCTAGTTTACTGGTATATAAATGGTATTTTGATGAACTTGCAGCATGGACTTGTTTCTTGTACTACAAATGAAAAACACCAAACTTGGTTTCATTATTTCTTCCTGTCTCTTGAAAACTGTTTAGAAAGATTTATATTATAGCCATGTGGCAACTCCTACACATGAATAAGACAACATACGCGTATAATGGTAGTCAAAAATTGTTTTAACGGTTTGGGCACAGACTTCTTAGAAATTTGGGAATCACTCAGCTTGTTTCCTTTGTACACCCCCTCTGCTCGTACCTGTAGAAGTGACTAGATCTATGTTCCTAAATAGAAAAAGTCACCAAATAGGACAGCAGAGGTTTGCCCAAAGGCTTTCACTAGTGCAATTTTGTGCATGTCTAAATATGCCTGTTAAAAATTAGTATAGCACAAGTAACAGAGTAATCTTTGAATGTATGTGCATGCAGGCAAAAGACCTACAAAGTCTAAGTATGAGGGGAAAAAGAAAGTAATTTCAACAATAATACCTAAGAAGCAGTGATGTACCTGCTGATGTTCTGATTCTGTATTTTCACAGTGGTAGTGTAGAAACAGGGAGATGTATGGATACCCCTTACCAAGCTGAAATGACCAAAGTGGTACTGATAGCAAGCGTTGGGGTGTTTTTTCTCTCCCCCACCCTGAACACAAATTAGTCAGGCTCTGTTGGTCCAAAAAGCACTTAGTATCATACAAGGACTTAGAGGTAAGCCCACAGAGCAGGTATGTTTGTTCCACTACACACAAGTTGACACAGAGGTCTCTCTCTGCCTCCTCAACCTTCTTGCCTGCTAGAGACAGTGTTTAAGACCCGATCAAGTTTTCTTCACCCTCCAGACCAGGAGTTCCCCTGTGTTCTCTTCATATAATAGCTTAACAGATGTGACACCCACAAGGTGAGGGCAGAGCAGGAGACCAGAAATGAATTATCTTTGCAGCCTTTTGCACAGGGACATCTTAACCTGTAGTCATCCATAGGTCGCACTGTGAAAATCATATTCTAGAGAGGAGCTTGTATTTTAACTATTGTTGCACAGAAGAACGGAGCCATGAAAACAAAAGTTGAGGATACACAGAACGTGATTGTTTGAGAAGAATCTGCATGCTATGAAAATTTCTAAGTTTTTAAAAAATTAGATAGGCCTGTATTATCAAAGTTGGTATTTTTCTAAGTGTTGCTGCTCTGGAGCATTGCAGGTTATACTCTGATAGTCTAAAGAGAATACTCTCAAGTATTGAGACATTGATGATAGAATTTCTTGCCAGAAAGACCACTACAAGACTCAGATCGAGGTATATTTTTTCCATATATCTTTCTTCCCCTTGTTCTGTATATGAAGTTCAAGCTAATTTCATTGCCCAAATTAAGTCTTAATTTACTTGTATGAATGACATTCGTTAATCTGCTGTGGTAACAGGGAACCAAATCTACCAAGTCAGTCCCAGCTCTACCAACAGCAGTACTTTATTTTTAGCGTAGATGTGGCAAGATGGCAACAATATCATACACAAAATGTAACAGGATAAATAGCATCTACTTTCAAAATTGCTAGTGTATGTTTCTGAAATATTTTTACTCTACCTGAACCCTTGTTTAACAGCAAGATGCTTGGCCCAAAAGAGCACTCTGCATTATTGACAATATCCATAAAAATAGCTCATGTGTTATCGTTTACTTTGATATTCCTTTGTAGGAAAGGGCTGCAGAGTAATTCTCACTGAATTAGGTAGAAACAGCTTCCTGCAAACTAAAATAATTATTTATGCAGAAACCTGTATTGCTTAAAGAGGCCTACACCAGAGTCATTTATTGCTTTCCTTTCTCTGAAAACCAAACCTTGAAATTCTTAAAAAATATTTGTGTTCTTTGGAATGAGAGAATTTACATAGGCTAGAAACTTTTGCCATGGTCTTCCGAGTACGTTATTCTAGTAGCAAAAGCAAGCATAATCCTGCTCTGTAAACCATTGTTTCAGCTTCCAGAACTCGCAGTACCTTGCTGAAAGGCAGCATTTTTGCTCCAATTTAAAGGGAAGGAAAATGACTGATCCAGCAGAACAGCACAGCAGACCAGCGGTACAATGCAGGTCCCCTAAGTCCTACTGTGTGCTCTAGCTACCATACCACCTTCTGTAAAATTAAACAATCTAGTAAAAATAAGATACAAAGTCTGATAAAGAAAATCACCAAATATCTACTTTAGCATAAAAAGTACATCTTCAAAGCACTCTGTAAAAAAACAAAAAAACAACCCAACCCCCCCCCCCCCCACCCCCCCCCCCAAACACCTCAAAACAAGTGGAAAAAAATTAACCTAATAGTCATTATACTAGATTGTATTTAGAATAAAGTTTTTGTTTAATTTAGTTTGAACAGACCCAAAATATCTTCTATGAGAAAAATGAGGTGTGTTACTGCCGAGAAGAAAATGAAACAATCCTTGCTGTGTTAGTATGCTGCGCAAAGGGCTACCCTGTGTCCTTCTGACAGGGTGCTTTGACGGTGGTTATGTTAGACTGCTTCCCTCCTTCTTTTGTTGCTACCCCTTGCAGTTATAAACAGGAGACACAAGGTGAGGGAAAATTACAAAACAAGTTTATTAAAGTCTAACATAAAACACTTCAGGCTAAATATGTACAACCCCCTCCCTTCCCAGGGGATTATAAAATTGAGAGTTGAGCTATATACAAATAACAGAGGAAAAATTGTATATACATGAAAGATATTTTAAAAATAATTTAACAAAAAAATCAGTTATTAGTCCTTATCTGGAATTAATTCTGCAAGGCTTATCGATAGCCTCTCCCAAGATCACAGCCCTGAAATCCTTAACATGGGACTTGTCCATACTCGAAAGTTTTTTGAAACACACGATTTCAGGAAAGTTGTCATGCTTTGTGCCCACTTTTAGGCACACATTTGGAAGTAAGTGTCATACAAGGAGCTATTCTCACATAAGTACTTCCGAACAGCCAATTCAGAAATTTCTAGATGCAGATAACCTGTTCAGGCAAAACTTGCACTGACTTCAGTGCAAAATTGACTGAAACGGTACTGAAACAATGGTGTGACAAATCATGTCGTTTTCTCTAAATTACTGTTAATGGAATTATTAAAATTCCCTCTTTCATTTTGCAGATAGGCAGACGTCTCCTTCTTGAGACCTAAAAAGATTCCATGCTTTCCCACATTAATCCCTTACAGAAATTATCAATACTGTTATAAACCTTGTACCTCCAAAATGAACTCAGAATCCTTAAGCCTAGGAATTAGATGTGCAGCTGATTTCCATGCATCTATTGGCAAAAGGTACAGTACAGACCTGCTTCTTCAGGTCCTACAGCACCCAGCCTGAACACA